ATGGGTGGTCCAACTTCAAATTTCGGTTCGATGTCCGCCTGATCTGCTCTTTTCCTTATGCACCAAGTTTACCTTCGTCCCTCGAGGAATTAAATTCATTTTTTAGCTTCCTAACTATTTTTAAAAGTATATAAAAATATTCAGTAATGTAAAAATCTTCAAAGACCTGTATAAAACATAGAAAAAGTATCAAAACGCTATTATAGAAATCACGAGTGAAACCCATCGTCTGCAGAGTACTTCTTCCCGTCGGCAATGTAAGTAAAAATACCGAAGTTGCAGAAACTTACGTTTCATTGTCGATTAATTTCTTATTTATAAAAGAAACATTTAGGGGAAATATGAGATTTTATAAAAGCCTTTTTAAATTTTATTCCTGACAAAACCATAGTTTTTTACGACAGTTCATTTTGCATTACAGTAGGCCAACTTGGCAAAATCGTAACTGGCGACCATCCGTAAGAATGACTAAAAAGTTGTAAGGAGGAAATAATGGCACCTAATATAAATAAATTGACATCAATACAGGCCTGGTTTCATCGGAGGACAAGTACAGGTTATGAAATTCTGTAGCTTTGCATTCTCTTAGCAGCAAAGATTTACATATCGCTCTAATGTCAAACGGATATACTATTAATAAATTCACCGGTATGTCATATTTTTGAAAACCTATAGATATAAGCGGCAATTGCTAAACTCTTTATTATTTGCGACCATAACATCCAATTTGAGCATTATGCATGCCAATCTGTTTTGTCGTCTCTGCTTTCGGCATTTTATAAGCTGCAACATTTAAGGGTTGGTAGTGGGTGTAGTTTTTGATAAAAATCCAAATTTTGATATTATTTCAGCGCACTTTTAATTGGAATTGGACTGATACCGCACTATCCTGTAAGAGCATAACGAGTCGTTCCTTGACACACTACAGGAAAACCTTTTCAGTCTATTGTAAACATGTTACATTCTCCATGGAAACATAACCAGTTAAAAAAAGGAAGCGATAATAACGAGACATGTTTGGGAAACTTTTGATTGTTGATGACTTTGGAATCTTTGTTTCATGTTTCAACTGTAGAGAAAGGCCACGCATTTTACAGTCAAGATTGTCATCAAAAACCCCAAATCTACAACTCTCCTGACTTTTCTCCAAACATTAGTTATTGGTTTAATATAATCATCCTCGTTACTCATTTCTTTGTGTATAGCGTTTGACATATCTGGTATTGATGAAGATGCATACGGGTTGTCCAACTCCAAATTTCGGTTCAGTGTCCGCATGATCTGCCCTTTTATTATTTCTTCCAGTTTTCTCTCGTTCCTCGAGCAACTAAACATTGACTTAGTTAAATGTTAATTTCTACTGACGGTGGCTCCTTATTCGGCCACCATACTTTGGTCTTGTTTGGTATTGTCGTATAGTTTTGAACATAATGAATTCCCTGTGACAAAGTAACTGTCGCTTCTCGAAACCTTGTATTCACTGCATTGTGACACGGGACTTTGTTTCTCGAGACATTGTATACATTAATAAGTTGCTTAACAATGCAACTTATTTCTGAATTCAGAAGAAAATTTCATCTATCTCAGAAAGAAATAGAACTTTTCGTCTGACAAGTTATTTAAGAGGATTTAATAATTTTATGAAAACCAGGCAGACATGATATATCAGCTTTTTGGAAAGGTGTAAAAGATACAAGCATTTATGGCCGACAAAATATATTTAAACAAAATGTTACCACCAACATATTATTATTGTTTATTATAATATACACTTTTGTGATTGAACCATCATTGAGCGTTGTTCACAATTTGTCTCGCGCCGAGAACTGACATGAGAATATTTTCAAGAAACTGATATGCCTGATTAATTTATTTCGGGATACGTCTCATCAACAACGTAGAGTTGAATATCCATTACAAAAGAGACAACTCTTACTTTAAAATTGTAGACAAATTCCTTTTAGAGTTGTTCCTCTTTTTCTATATATTGGACTAGACTTCAAATTTTAAAAAAATATAGTGTTTTATTTTTTTTTTTAAATTGATACATGCTTAAATTTAATTTATATATAAATGCACACTGTAAATCTACCAAGTCTAAATGCAAAAATTTCGAAGAATTCTTGTTCAAATTTAATGGTATACCAACATTCTGATGTTTGAAGTGTGCTTCTCTCTTATGTCTGGGGTTATATTGTGATGTGGTATGTTTTTGATATTGATAATCGATCTTATCGAATTGCCTGTTAATTTTTACGTTGGCGTTTAAACTTTGTAATTTGAAATTACTGCCAAATGAAAGCTTGATTTGATTGTACAGTATATCAATGTTTATAAAATTCCTGCCGAACCGGATTTGATTATTCCCAAATGAATCGCATAATGGTGTTGCAATACAATTATCATGAAAATGCATTTGTTTTTCATTAATTTGAAGTCTTATCGATTCGTGTCTGCTATTTAAACACACTAGTACTATTCCTGCATTTTTAAATGTTGCGGTATAGGATCTATGTTTTCGAGGGCCAATTTAGCTATTGTCATCACTTGGCGTCCGTCGCTTATTGGTAGCACATAGTTCAAATTTTACCTCTAGGCGAAATCACAATTTCATTTTCTCTGATATAACAATGTCAGTTTTAACCAAACTTTACAGAAATGATGCATGAAAAGTCCTTTAAAATGATCCGCATTTAGTCTCAATGAAATAAAAAGTATGGTAACCATAGGCAATCTTTGATTCTGATTAGTCAATTTTCCAAAAAAGTTCTCTTCTGAATAACAAGGACATTTACCATGAAATTTAGGGGGTTTATGAAAGCAAGCCATCCGAAGATATTTTGTTAGAAGTTATCCGATCTTGGTCAAACAAGGGGAAATATTCCAGGTGAGCGATTCAGGCTACAAGGAGCCTCTAGTTGGATATTTCTTTATTAGACAGTCAAATGGATATAACTAACCTCCAAGTTATCTGTGAGCATTATCATATCTTGCCGAATGATCAAACTAAAAAAAACTTTATTAAATTTCTAAGCCTGTATTTACGCGTGACATCTTTTAAAACCTTTTACCACGAGTTTGAAACCATGATGTCGATTGTTTCCTTACATCAGCTTTTTAATTGATTGGTTGCTGGTTGCTTAACATCAAGTGGCAAATATTTAAACAACCAACAATCAATCAATCAACCAACTGGTGTAAGGAAACAATCGGCATGTTGGAAAGGAGAGTTTAATGGAAACCAAAACAGTGATAATGACGTAGAGATAAATCTAAGTAGCAATCCATATTGAAATTATTCATTGCTTAAGCAAAGCAGATTATGTGGTTTCTGAAACAGGGGAACAATGACAATCCCTCGATCTTTACTGTTTCTATGGCTGTGAGTTACATACGAGGCTGTCGAGGATTTTATGCTCTCGTACAATAGATAAATTTTATTTATAGCCTGACAGCTGACTTAAAGAAAATCATTCATATTAAGGAAGGGGACAAGATAATTTTATATATTATACTAGTACATTGTAGTTTGGCTTAAATGTGTTGGACCTGAGAGAGCCACACAACATTTTGCGTACGTTTCAATTTTAATTTGTCAATTCAGAGTTATTGGACTTTAACTACAAAAAATGTATAATTTTTAAGAACTTTTTCAAATGTCACACACTAACTTGAGTATGCCTGTTCAACTCACGTTAAACTGCATATTGTTCATTGTATTGGTAAAAAGGAAGCTTCCTTTTTGAATTTTAAATTTTTTTGATTTGTAATTTCCGAGTTATAAGACTTAAATCTTCCTTTTTTTACGCTTACACCATGTAAAGTTTTTTCTGCAGGGGCATTCTATTGATTTTACGTCTATTACAATATTCTGTTGTATTCTTGTAACAGTTTTAATAACATATGACGGTCGTATCATGCGCTCCTGGAGAATCGTCTATTACAGATTAGAGAACTCTTGTGTAAAAGCTTTTGTGAGTTGCTTTGCTATCGTGTGCTATTTTTTTTTTAACTTTTCAATTTTTACCGTTCCTTTTGGCCGTCGCAGACAACTGCCCTGAGAGGCGCTTTCCATAATGGGCTGTTGTGCGAGAATGTCAGACAATTCTATCTAAATTTTATATAAGCTTGCTACAAATCAATATTTTGGTTATGCATGACTATATTCAGTTGTATGTTTTATATATGTACATGATGTCGTGTTTTATTTGTTTTGTTTACGTTCTTATATTTGGTAAAAAGCTCACCATGCAGAGCTTATGTTTAAAAACTTTGTATTATGCCGAATTCATATAAAGTTCTCTGTGTCTAAGACCGTATGCTTACCTCTAAATGTCTTTCCTTGTTTTATTGTTTCGTTACTGTATAGTCTGTATGATTAACATAAACCCCCTTAACTTCATACCAATAAGACTTTTTGATCCATTCCTTTGTCCTGTATTCTCCGTAAGCGAAGAAGCCTTTTGAAGATTAACCTTTGTCCGAATTGTTTGGTTTGAGGGTAGTAGTAGAAACATCAAAGATACCAGTTCTCAGTAGTAGTTTACTCCAGTAAAAAGGTACCATGGGTTTAAGAAATTAAGTATTTATAAATATATTGATACCTGACTGTCTAACAAACATTTCCTCTTATACGTAACAGTAACACCATTTGTCCTACAAATTTATAATTTATTTTTTCCGTACTTACCAGAAGTAAATTTAATATATAGAAAATATATAGGAAATAATAAGACAATGCTTTGACTTTCATCGACTTGAAGGTCTTTTTTCTTGCCATCTGAGTTATTTTCTAACTTTTTGATCCCTTGAAAATACCCAATACCAAAAAAAAAAAAAAAAAAAACACAGAGCAAAGTTAGAAAATTCGTTGCATAGTCCTTAAGAATTACACAAGATCAAAGTGGTTCAGTCGTCAGTTGAGCTTTTTTCAACAATATTTATTGTACATGTAACTTACTGTCTTTTCTAGGTTTGTTATAGAATTATTATTTTTCCAGGAAATCCCAACAGCGATGAAACCATCACAGGTAATTTAGATAATACCATTATTTTTATATAGTACTTTTCGTTCATTCGTAACATTAATGTTTCAGTGAATTATACATCAACTTTATTAACTTTAAAAAATGAGTTGGCTTCCGTGTTGCTTTTGTGTGTGTGTGTATTAATATATTTGCAAGTGTATGAAACAAAACTGGTCTAACTGTGATGTCTTCAACGGCTGGCAGGTAATACAAACAAGATATGAGGAGAAGATTTTCTTGTACATGTAGTATACAAGTATATGTGGACAAGTTTATTCAATAAGACAGCAAACCAACAACAAAAAATTACCAAACCTACATCTTAAAGTCTCCTAATTACCTTTAATAATGGACACGGAGTGCATAAAAGACCATTAAGACATTTTATATTAATGAATTAAAATTGAAATGCACTTTTTCCAAACTAAAACATCAATGAATGTTTCCTTATGCAATTTCACCAATACGTGATTTTTTTGGGGTTTAGAAATTAACTACGATAAATGGGTTTCTGTAATCTATTGAAATTCTAAAGCATATTGCAGCAAATGTAGTTTTGTTTAAATATTTCAATAGATGTTGCTTTTATTTGAAATCAATACATATTCATTGTAATTGCATGCTAAAATTGTTGTTGGGTCTTCATTAGGTTATAATTTCCTGTCGCCATGAAACCATAAAAATGTACTATTTCTTTTTATTTCTTATTCTCTGAATGAACAGAGGGCTTTGAGTCCATTGCTAGAAAGGAAGAAGCAAAAGGCATATGTAAGTTAACCGTGGTCTGGTTTACAAGGGTAGAATGCACACTTATCGCACTGGTATATTGGTTTTGAAATGCACCATAATTTCACCGGTTCACAACTTAAATTGTTTAAATCTTGCATGTTGCAAATAGTTTAAATCTTTATGCATAATATTCTGTAGTATGTACACAAATGTATTTTGTTTTCAAAGGAAATCTTAAGTAGAAAGTATAGCTAAATGAACCTGTCAGTTTGTAAAATGTTTACTTCTGCCGAACATACTGCAGCTATTGTATTGAATCATGTCAGTAAATAAGACAATGTTTACACAGAAGGCAATATTTACCCTGATATAAAATCATACTACTGCGGTGATATTTTCAGGTAAAATGCAACTACATCAATGCAATTTAAAGTTCTAGCTTGAGACGTTCTTACTATAAAGCTATATAAAAAAAATACAGTAGTTCTTATATTCTTTATTTATAATCTATAGTTGACATTTACAGATTATGGTATACATATACTATCTATTTCATATGACACCTATAATTTTAATCTGCATACTTTCGTTATTTTATTTAAGAGATATTGGAAATAAATAATTCTGTGAACGTTAATGGGACATTTTAATGTATATATATAATTAAAATCAAATGGATCCCTGATTGATTTTTACTTGTATCTACATTGTTACTAGGGAGTTCAACAATTTTATTGAAAATCGTTTTTAAGATTATTAATATAAATTTAATATTGAATTGACAAATAGTTTTTGTAATTTTGTGAAATGATTAACCTTTAAGACTGTATCCGGTATGGAATGTTAATGAGTTTTTTGTTGTTGCTAAATAATTACTGAATGTTAAAAATGTATTTTAAAAAAGTAAAATCAGTTTGTACGTTTTAAATTCAGAGTTTGCAGACAAGGCCCAAAGTAAGTATGTTCTCGTGTTTGTAATAAGTGCTAATCTTTGGCTATGTAGGTAGCAAATATATTATTATTATACCACTGTTTGGAAAACGTGTCTTGTCCAGAATTCTACATTCCTACTCACAACATCTTAAAAAGTAAAAGGACTCAAATTTGTCTTTAGCAATGAAAGCTTAAACATTTCACGATGATGAGTGCGTCCTTTATTATTCCTAAACAAGAAACGGGATTTCAGAGATTATTTAGATTTTTCAAACCGTGTATTATGCTATCTGCATTTTGTATCGAATGACCTCGCAGTTGTCCTACTCATGTTATAGGTTTATACATCCCTAAAATGCCTAAATCTTTAACCTCGTATACCAAGTAGATTGCTTTCATTAGAGCTTTTCAATTCCTTGGTAGATTAATTAACTGATTTTCACTGCCTACTATTATAATTTATAATAATAAAAAATATGATTTCATCAAGACAAAAGGACACATGTTTCTTTTGATTAAAAAACAATATTATTGTATATTCAAAATTTAAATGTACATGTATAACCAAAACTGCATATATTTATTTTGATATTGAATCTATTAACAGTTTCGACTGATAGACCAAATGCAATCTATCATAACGATTTTCATAGTGCAGCGAGTGGTTCAGTAGCTCCTTAATCGGGGAAGATTAGTTAGTATATGATATTAAGCAGAACAAACACTGTTTTATAACCTTTTTTAGGATTCGGAATGCAATGAGAAAATTTAAATTGATATCTGACATGTTATGTGTAAAGTCTAGCATAACGTTGTGACGGTTTCCCTTGTGTCAAAGTGTTTTCTGTGTTGAATATTTAAACTGTTCGTTCAAAGTCATCGGGTTGGGTTTACAAGGAGTGTCCCGTACATGTAAACTCTGAAGCTCCAAATAAAGTATGTTTAAATGTGGGGAATTAAAAAAAAGCCCGTGTTCTTTTCATTTTTCTGACCTAAATTCAATTACGAGTTGAACGAACTCTCACTGGCTGTATTATCCAAATACAGAAACAATAGAAACAGTGCCAAAACTCTTCTGTTGTGTATTTATTGTGTTATTGAATTTACACAGCTAAGCATATTGTTTAATTTAGAATTATTTGCAAGTAGATAACGGTCCATTCAATTTCGTTTTTATTGATATCATATTAAATACTTCGTGTTGATAATGAACTTCACAAATACATTTAAAGTATTTTTTTCGTCACCCGAAAGATAATATACATAAGAAGTTAAGTAAACAATAAAGTGTGTCCAGTGAAATGAAGAACCATAGTTTATGTTTCCTTTCTAGTATAAAATTTGTTTGTATTGATTTTATTGTAATGGTATCTAGAGTTGTGTGAAGATAACTTGCACCTTTGACAAGAACACAAAGTTCACTATAGTCAAAATAACATTAACGGTACCAATTTTACTACACCCGATGCGTATTTTGACATTTAGTGCCTCTTAAGTGATGTTCAGGTCAAAATGTTTGAAACTTCAAAACCTTATGTATATACAAACGTTGAATAGCTGATTAAACCAAAAGCGGATCAAAAGTAAAGCCAAACCCGCACAATGAATCAAGTCAAGATAGCTCATTTTTGTTTATTATACTTCATGTCAAAATGCCAGATTTTGATTGGTTAATACGAGGGAGACAATTTACTCTATCCCATGGCAATTACTCTATTACCCTTCACAGAGACGCTTGCTCAAATGTGCGCTTTAATAAATACGGATGATTGTTATGTACAAGACGACATAGTTTATTACTTTGAATTTGAAATTTAATATAAAGTAATAACAGAACATTCAGTATAATAAATTAAATAATACATATCTGAGAGGGTGATAGAGTAGATTGTTTCCCCTCGAAAAGACATTGTCAACCTTGGCTTCGCCTCAGTTGACAATGTTTTCTCGTGGAAACAATCTGCTCTATCACCCTCTCAGCTATGTGTTATTTATATAATAGTCTATAGATGCTTGAAAAAATGCTCGAATAAAAGGTTTTACAATTTCTGTCTCCTGTCATTTCGAGAATTATTTTATTTACAGACTGACAATATCGCCCAAGTTGTAGTAATTGAATATCTACTAATGTGTTTGACTTATAATAAATGTTACAACTGTCAGAGCAGAAAAAGACATACTAGTAATATGGTTTCAAGCACAACAACATTGAAATAATCCTGTTTGTACTAGTTACTGTACCTCTGAACCTTTAAAAAGTTCAAACTTTATATAAGTACTGAACACTAAAAAATAAAAAAATTCAAAATTCCATTTCTGTATAGAAAAACTGTTCTATAGATGACATGTTTTGCTGTTGACTAGCTCTTTTACAACTATGTATGAACCTGTTATTGATAATAATTAAAAGATAATCAAATATTTAGATAAATATCATGCTTATAGTAAATCTTTCAAGATCGTCGACATCGATTTTCAAGCGTAACTACAAATTTTCACTATTTTATCAAACATTTTTTTTTATATTCGAATAGACTTTTGACCTTTATTTTAGTGATTTTTTTCTTTGAAAATCGAGACTGGTCTACTTATTTGGACAATTTCAGTTTTTTTTTTTTGTGACACCCTTGTTTTACGACTAAACACATTTATTACAGCTGTATGCTTACATATTAAGTGTTCCTGCTCCAAGTCTGTTCTCTCTTTAGTGTCCCTGCCCCAAGTCTGTTCTGTCTTTAGTGTCCCTGTCCCAAGTCTGTTCTGTCTTTAGTGTCCCTGTCCCAAGTCTGTTCTGTCTTTAGTGTCCCTGTCCCAAGTCTGTTCTGTCTTTAGTGTCCCTGCCCCAAGTCTGTTCTGTCTTTAGTGTCCCTGCCCCAAGTTTGTTCTGTCTTTAGTGTCCCTGCCCCAAGTCTGTTCTGTCTTTAGTGTCCCTGCCCCAAGTCTGTTCTCTCTTTAGTGTCCCTGCCCAAAGTCTGTTCTGTCTTTAGTGTCCCTGCCCCAAGTCTGTTCTGTCTTAAATGTGTCCCTGCCCCAAGTCTTTTCTCTCTTTAGTGTCCCTGCCCCAAGTCTTTTCTCTCTAGTGGTTTTCGTTGTCCTCTTTTTGTTTGTTTTACGTTTTATTTAATTGACTTCAATTTTTACAGTTTAGTGTCTCTTTTTAACCTTTCACATCTGGTTTACCCACGGTCTTTTATAGCTTACCTTACAGAATAGGTTCTTTACAACATTGTGGCTGCTTTGAAATGAGGAATCAGCTTATATTTTAAGTGTCTTAGATGGCAACAATAGATTTTTGTAAACATTTGATTGCGTTCTTCTTTCATGTGTATTTTAGATTTCAGATTTAACAAAGAGTTTTAAAAGTATGACAAATTAACAAGCACACTAAATGAATTTTTTTAACAGAGTTTCTATGCTACATATTATCACCATAGGTCAGTCAAAAATGTTTCCGACCAATGTCACTATTCTAGAAATTATTTACAGGATTGTTGTAGGAATGATGTTTTTTTTTATTTTTACTTTTACATGTCTCGAATAATTGCAATTTTTTGTGGTCTATCAATACAGTTTCACTAAAAAGGTATATCCGCTGTACTTTTTCATTCAGTGGATATGGTAGTTTAAATAGTAAAACATTAATTGAGTTTAAAATTTTACATTTTATAAAGGATATGGGAGTCTAGAATATATTCTAGCGGTTTTTAATATCTAGTTTATCCATATAATTAACAATGTACCAAAAAGAACCAGAAAGTATTCGTCCTTTTTATTTGAGAATTAACGTAAGACCTTATTTCCTTATCAATATAATTTCAGAGTTTAAACCTCTACTTTTATTGATTAAATAGTAACCCACTGAAAGAATTATTGGGACATTTGAATGCGAAACTCCGGCTTCTGTTTAACATGTAAAGCTATGTGTTATTTGGTAAACATTTGCGTTTGTCGTGGCTGATTGAACGAGCATTCATTTAGTGGTTTAAATTCATTCAGATGCAAATTTTTATTTTTACCTTTGAAATCGTATATTGAATCGAAATATATTTCGAATTTTAAGTTGGTTACCGGACAATTAATGCATTTACGTATTTGTTTAACTAGTGCAAGTGATTTTTTTTTCGTGAAAAAGGTATCTAAGGAATATGTACTAAAAATATTTTAGTGAAATTATTTGGATACTAAAACTGAAAACATGCCGAGAAAAGGACGGCGGGTATGTATAATTGTAACTCTTTTTTTTTAAATATCCATTTCAGATTTAATCTTTCAACTTTTTAAAAAACAGAACAGATTATATTACTAAGTTCGCATGTTTGTAACAATTGATCTACTTAGCATGGATAGATCTTACAAGTTAATCTTGCTACTATACAAAAACATTTAATTTGTCGAGATGTCATATGGATCCTGTGTTGATTCATAAATATATAAGGTATCTGAAATATATCTAACATTTCTTGTGTTATAAATGGTATGATTTGAAATGATATCCAATAGATGATATATTGAGTCACAAGCGGAACCTAGGTGCAGTTATAACCCATACAAAAGCTCCAACATATATATATATTTATATATATATCAGTTAAGAACATTTTTAGTTACTACAATCCAATATATTTTAACAAAATACGCACACATTTGATACTTTTTAAAATCACAAAACTCTTTTGAATTGATTGGTTTCTACGACGACTACTCTCAGATGCAATGTAATGATAACAAAAGTATGAAGTATAAGGTTGTTTCCAGTTAAAGATTGAAAAGGATTTCATTATTTTAGTTCTATAACCGATGCTTGACCTTCGGCTATATTTGGCTGTAATGATGTTGAAATGAGAATAAAAGTAATCCTTTTTTTTCTCTACTGTTGTTTTACTGTTTCATGACATTAAAACAAATCTCTATATCATCTTTATATGTATGACCATTACCGAATTCGACTTAAAAACCGGATTTTTACTTGTCATGAGAAACAAAGAAACAAGTCGTTGGTAATTTGTCAATGTAGCGTTTCG